GAAAAGGGGGGGGTCCAGCAGGGGGGGGAGGGATTTTCGGAGGGAGGGGGGGGACCCCCAGGTTCCGGAGGAAGAGGGGGGGGGGGGGAATTTTCCACAGTAGAGCGGCGGTGGATCACGCTCTCATAGATCGAGAGAAACCGACAGCGGGGTCGATAGCGGTGTCCCGTGGTGTCTCGTGTCGTCCCGTGGTCTCGTTTGTTTTTATGATGCTCTTCTACAGGGGCGAACGCGCGGGCCATGGAACGCAATGTGGTTCTGCTGGTACTCCTGGTGTTTTGTTGCCTTGGATCGATAGTGAGATCGAGTGCGCGAGGTAGTGATATCTCTATCTATACAGAATGATATGTATGTCGGTACCTAGAGAGAGAGAGAGAGAGAGAGAGAGAGAGAGAGAGATGGGTCGATAGACATTTAGGTCGTCATCACATATCTTTGCCAACGCGTCGTCGCCAGCATCTTCAGATTCACAGCCACTGCAGTTGTCCTCAGTTGCCCCCACAACCTCCTTATCACCCGAAGAGTGGTCGTATAGGTACAACGAGCCCGCCGCAGGCGCCATTGTTTTCGCCACATCAATGTGAGTGGGTCGCGGATAAGTTAGATGGTTCGCGGGGTGGGTTGCGGGGTGGGTCGCGGGCGGGTCGCAGGCGAGGACTACAACAACAATTATTATAAGCATTATCCGATTGTTCGCTCTTATCTGCTCGCGTGCCATTCAACACGCTTATCCCAAACCCATCGCACCCCCTTGGGGGTAAATATTTTTTTGCTTGCATCGTTTATTTCATGCAGCCCCTGCAGCAGGGGAAGAGAGGACGGATGGAAAAATAAGACAAAAGGGGAGAGAAAAGGATGGAGCACCAGAGAGGGGAGAGTAGCAGGAGGGGGGGCTAAACGCAGAAGACACGTGGCTGAACCAGACGGGAAGTGCGGGTGGGTAAACCCTGACAGGCGGATCGGGAAGGCGGTCCCTGTCAGCCAGGTTGAGCCGGCGGGGTGCTGAAGTGTGAGTCCTGCGTGAATTGCGAGGAAGTCTCGAGCGACAGCACGATTCCCATGAAAATCATGAGACAGGCCAAAGCAAGAGCGTGGCTCATGAGTGTCGAGGGCGCGGCGTCTGAATACATTGCGAGGGCGTCCCACGCGAGAGCGCGATTCTTGCACACATTGTGAGGGAGTCCCGCGCGAGGCGGGAACCGTTGTTGTTATCAGCCAGGGGGCAGGGGCGCAGTTTGGTGACACTTCGGTGTCCCTTGTGAAAAAAAGGTGCGAGCCTTGGAAGCAGCATTCTATTTGAAAAATGCAATGATTACCGGGGAGGGGAGATCAACAGCAGTTATCAGTTAGAAGTCAGAGTTCAATTGCAGCAGCAATCGTTTCAAGACTGGTCGTTCTCTTCTGCTCGCGTGCCGTTCAACACGCATGTCCCGAACCGTCGTTGACCGCCCTCTTCGTCTTCGATCGTACTCCCTTGTGGGCACATCTTCCCTGCCACGCGCGCTCAGCGCAGCCCCCCAAAATAGGGGAATTGAGGACGGATGGAAGGAGGAGGGCGAAGGATGAAACGTGAGAGAAATTGAGAGGGTGCTAGGGAGAAAAAACACGTGGCTGAACCAGACGGGCAGATCGGACGGGCAGACCCTGGCGGGCAGGTCAGGAAGGCGTGCCGAGGCGGCCACGTCGAGAGGGCGGGTTGCTGAAGCGTGAGTCCTGCATGAATCGCGAGGACGACTCGAGCGACAGCGTGCTTCCCAACTAAATCGTAAGAAAGGCCAAGGTGAGGGTGGGAATCCTGAATGTCGAGGGCGCGGCGTCTGAACACAGTGCGAGGAAGTCCCACGCGAGAGCGCGAGTCCTGCATGCATTGTGAGGAAGTCCTTCGCGAGAGGTCGATTGTGGAACCCATTGTGAAGACGTATCTGGCGGGAGCCGTTGTTGTTGCCGTCCGGGACCCACCAACCCAGTTCGAGGAGGACACTTACCCCGATGAAGAGCATGGTGCGAACCCCGATGGGGGGACTTCAATTGAAAAACCAGTGTGCGCTGGTGAGGGGGATCAGTAATAAACGTTCTTCAAGAATGGGGGGATCGTTCTTCTTTTTTCAACAACAACAACATTCATCATTTTTAGGCTGTTGGTTCCAATCAGCTCGCGTGCCATTCAACACGGGTAGACGAGCAGGCGGGTTGTTGAAGCGTGAGTCTTGCAAGAATGCGAGAAAATCTGAGTAAATTGCGTGGGGATCGAGAGCGCGAGTTTGGAATACAGTAGGAGGAAGTATCAGGCGGGAGCCGTTGTTGATGCAGCTTGGGCAAGGGGCACAGTCAGGTTGAGCATGAATAGTTTTCCTGGAAATAAAGCAGGGGGTCGAGCCCCGAGGGGGGCACTTGAATTAAAAAACACAATGTGCGCCAGTGATGGGGGATCAACAATCTCTTTTACGAGTGGGAATTCAACAACAACAACAACAACAACAACAACAACAACAACAACAACAACAACAACAACAATAGCAGCAACACCACCAACAACGTCAACAACGTCGCCAACACCACCAACAACAACAACCACAACAACATTCCATTACCAACAACAACGCAACAACAGCAAATCAACAATGGTAAGAACAACATCACTCATTATAAGACTGCTCGCTCTTACCTGCTCGCGTGTCATTCAACACGTATGTCTCGAACCCTCGATACCCGACCTCTTCTTGCTCGATCCTACCCCGTTGGGGTATTTTTGTTCTTGCCTGCACGCGTATCTCGTGGATCCCTTAAAGCAGGGGAAGAGAGGACGGATGGAAGGAGGGGATAAAAGGAGGATGGAACACGAGAGAGCGTAGCAGGAGGGATTCTGGGAGCAGAAAGCACGTGACCGGACTGGCAGATCGGGCGGGGAGACCCAGGCGGGCGGGTCGATAGGTGGTGGACCAGGCGGCCAGGTCGAGCAGGCGGGTTGCTGAAGCGTGCGTTTTGCAAGAACGGCGAAGAAGTCTTGTAGAGGCCGCAACATGTGAGTTCTACAGTTTTTATTCGAGTAGGTTCTACATGGAAATTGTTTCTGCGTCACTCCGTCGGACCAGGCTTTTCATGTGTGCGGCGGGCGGAACGTTTCGTTTGGTGGTTTGATCTGGCGCAGCGGTAGACAGATGTTGGAAGGGGCGACGTGGAGGGCGGATGGGGAGGAGCGAGGAGGGGGAAGGGGGGAGGAACGATATATGAGGAGGGAGGGAAGGAGGGAGAAGGGAGGCAGGGAGGGGGGGAGAGGGACGGGGCAGGAGGGAGGAGAGGGGCTGGTCAGGCCCGCTGTAGGACCTGGCGGGCGTCGCCGCGCACGCGGCACTATATCTCCGGAGCATCTCCGAAACACTTTCGAAAAGAATTCTGGGGGGTCGACCACACGTACAGAACATCCACGAAACGTCTACGGAACATTTCCAGGGGGCGCAATCATCTACGTAACATCTACGAAATGTCTTCGGGGGCGAAAGCATCTACGAAGCATATACGAAGCTCTCCGGGGGGGCGAAAACTCCGACAGAACATCTACGAAACATCTACGACGCACTTCCGCGGAGTCGAAAACGATGCGGTCTCGACGACCGAAACCGCGGTCGCGCGAACCCGGTTCCACTCACGGAACGAACCCTGCCTGAAAAATTGTACATTACAGTGCGAAATTGAGGTGGTCACGCGAGCCCGGTTCTGTTTGCGGGCCGAACCTCGCCCGACAATATTTTACAAACACGTCGGGCACAGTTCCGATTCGTCCCACGTGAGGCAAGAATTACAGAACATCTACGAAACGTTTACGACACAGAAGCAAACACATCTACATAACGTCGATTCAAGATCTACGAAACATCTCCAGGGGGCGACAACATATGTATGAAACATCTACGAAACATCTCCCATCTTCAGGGGGGCGAAAACATTTATATAACATCTACGAAACATATCCGAAACTCCAGGGGGCAAAAACATCGACAGAACAGCGGCGGTGGTGACTGCGGCGGCAGTGGTGGTGGTGACTGCGGCGGCAGCTGCAACGGTGCTGGTCGTGGTCACGCGGCAGGTCTCGTTGCCCTGTGGCGCTGTGCACCATCGTTTCCTCCATCCTGCCTCCCCTTCTTCCTCTCCACTTCCTCCCCCAGGTACCCCCCCCCACACCGAGATCGGACGTTGCAAAAACATTGAAACACCGTCGACCAAAGCCTTAGACCCTATCGTTCTGTGCAATTTTTCGAGCCATATCGATCTGTGAGGGCCCCAGGGCCAGAGCCCAGGCGAACTAAGATGCAACGCCCAGATCTGGGGCATTACCATCTCCCCCTTCTCCTTCCCTCCTTCCCTCTTTCCCTCCTTCCGTCCCTCTCTCCCAGGCACCTGTGCCGTTGGGTACCATTTCCAGGGAAACAGGCGGTTTGCAGCCCGATCGACAACCCTGTTTCCCCGTTCGGGCAGGGAAGGGGGGGGGGGAAATTGCGCCTCGTCGCCACGTTATCCCACCCCTTGCGGTGTCCTGGCACGTACATCGCGTGCGCCTGGGCGGATGGGGGGTCCCCTGCTGGGGCTCATTGGAGATCCACGCCCAGCCTTCCCACGGCCAAGGCCCCCCGACGCCGCGTGCGTGGGGTTGCGCGGTCGCCCGAGGGAGCGGCGCCATTCGCGTGGCTTTCCGGGGCGGCACGCCGTGAGGCGCGTCGCCATCTGAGGGCAGTGCGCCCGCCGTCTCGGAATTGTCAGGAAGAGCGCGGCGCGCCAAGGTGCGTGGCGTGCGCGGCGCGCCGAGGTGCGTGATGTGTGATCCGCTCTTGGCGGCTGCGCTTGGCACTAGTGAACATCTCAAGCTTCTGCTTCGCTACGTGCTTGGCGATGGATCTCTGACTCTCCTTCCTTCTCGCCCGCCCCGAGCTGCAGACGCCGCCCCCCCGCCCCTGGGGGGAGCCCCGCGGCCGCGGCCCGGCGCCCGCGGCGCCCCGCCCCGGACGATGGCGCAGGCGCGCGCGCGCGCTGGGGCGCTCGCCGATCACCGGGTGGGGTTTTTGGAGGGCGAGCGGGGGCGGGCAGGGCGGAAAGCGGAGGAGGGGGGGAGGGAAGCAGGGAGGGGAGGGAGGGAGAGGGGGAGGGGGGGGGAGGACACGGGGAGGGGAACCGGGGAAGGAGGACACGGGGATGTTGGCGTCGGGCGCGCGCGCGCGCCTGCGCGCGACTGCTCGCGCCTGGGCTCGCGCGTTTCGCCGGGTGCAGTTTCTCGGGGGGTGCTCGGGGGCGGGCGGGGTTCGGTCGGTCGGAGTCGCAGGGCGCCAGCAGCCCATGGACACGGGCGCGGACATGGTGAATGCGCGCTGTCCGAAAAATGTTCAACAAATATTGCGCAATGAGCTTCTCGAAGAAACGCATAGAGCAGCAGAGACAAACAGAGGCGAGGAGGAGAAAAGGAACAGGAAGGGAGGGGAAGAGACAATCCAGCAAGGGGCGGGCAGTGTTCGGGGGGGGGGGGGGCAACGGGGTTTCCCTTCCTCGGAAATGCGTTCCAGCAGCAGCGCCTCGACGAAAGCATTCCGGGGGTGCCCAGGTTGTCCCGAACGGCCGCCGGAGACCCGAGTTTTTCGAGTTTTGGGCGAACATTCGGAGGAGAGCCAGTGTGGTGAGTCAATGGAGGTTCGGGGTCACTGTACAGTTTTGGGACGTGGGTCGTCCGAGGACGCCTTGGGCGAACGGGGTTTCCGAGGTCTCAAGACCGTGCGATGACGGACCGCGCGGTGCGGTGTCCTAGAGTTTTGAGGTCACCGCGCTGTTCGCCACCACGCGGTTTCGGGACAAGGGCGGAGGGCGGAGGGGGGAGGAGGGAGGAGGGAGAGAGAGACGAGGGAGGAGGGAGGGGGCGCGAGGGGGAGCGGGGGGGAGGAAAAGGAGGAGATGGGATGGGGTCAGCGGGGTTGTCCAGGACTCAAGGGCCAGAGCCCTGCTGCTGGGCGAGCGCCAAGCCCGCCCGCATCCTCGTCCGAAGTTGCCTTCGTCCTGGCAGGGCCCGCGCGGAACAGTGTGCCAAAATGGTGGTGGAACCGCATGCGAAGTTTGCCACTGGGGTTTTCGGTGGAGCTCCCTATGGGGCCACGAACCGCGTGAGGTGTGCCACAGAAGGGGTGGAACCGCATGCGAGATTTGCAACTAGTGCCTTCGGTGAGCTCCCTACGGGGCCCCGAACCGCAAATGGCGGTTAAACCGAACCGAACCTGAGCAACCGCCATTTGTCGTGTGGGGGGTCCAAACGCAGACGTTTTGTGCAGGGAAGATGCCGGGGCACGATGGGGGTCAGGGGCCGGGGCGGATTCCGGGACAGGAGTGGTCGGGTTGGGAGCCCCAAGAACAGAGGTTCTGGTCGGGGAAGATGCCGGGGCACGGTGGGGGTCAGGGTGGGAGGGCGGGGTCGATTCCAGGCCAGTTTTTATTGTCGTGTGTGGACAGCCAAGAACAGAGTGTCTCCAGGCTAGGAGTAGTCGGTTGGAGGCCACAAGAACAGAGGTTCTGTGCAGGAGAGATGTCGGGACATGGTGGGGGTCAGAATTGGAGGTCGGGGTCGGTTGCAGGCCACGAGTTGTCGGGTGGGGGGCCAGAAGGACAGAGGTCCCGGGCAGGAAAAATGCCGGGGCATGGTGGGGGTCAGGGTGGAGGGTCGGGGCGGAATTCCAGGCCAGGAATTGTCGCGTGGGGGGTCCCACAATGTTCTGGGCGGGGAGGGTACCAGGGCACGGTGGGGGTCCGGGTGGGGGGTCGGAGCTGATTTTGGAACAGGGATGGTCGGGTGGGGGAGCCCAAGAACAGAGGTCCCGGTCGGGGAAGATGCGGGGGCACGGTGGGGGTCAGGGTTGGGGGTCGGGGTCGACTCCAGGCCAGGAATTGTCGCGTGGGGGGGCCCAAGAACAGAGGTTCAGGGCGGGGAAATGCCAGAGCACGGTGGGGTTCAGGGTGGGGGGGGTCCAGGCCGTTTCGAGGCAAAGAACTTTTGTGCAGGCGGGCGGGAGGGACGCCAGGGCACGGTGGGGGTCAGAGTTGGGGGTCGGGGTCTATTCTACGCCAAGACTTGTCGGGTGGGGGCCCCAAGAGCAGAGGTTCCGGGCGGCGAAGATATTGGGGCACGGTGGGGGTCAGCATGGTGGGTCCCAAGAAAAGCGCTCCCAGGACGGTGCGGGGGCCGGACGATGTGGAGGGTCAGGGTCGGCTCGTAGCGCGGAATTGTCGAGTGAAGGGTCGCAAGAAGAGCATTCCCAGGATGGGGTCGGACGAGGTGGGAGGTCGAGGGGGAGGGGATGCCGAGACCAGGTGGGGGGTCCGATGCGGTGTGGGGCCAGGAACCCTCGGGTGGGGGGGTTCTAGAACAGAGGTTCAAGCAGTGGCGAACCGTCCTGGCTCGCCTATACCCCTACCAACCAATGTTCTGAGAACCTCTTGTGGTTTCCACGAAATGTTCTTAGAACATTTCTGGCGGAGCCTGTCTTGTTTTATCACAGCGGGTTTATGTTTTAAGAAAATGCTTTTTGTGCTTAGAACATTTCTGGTTCTAAGATCATTTCGTGGTAGGACTATAGGAATGCCGGGACGGTCGGTCCCTGCTCAAGAGGTCCATTGGGTGGGGATGCCGGGGCCAGGTGTAGGGGCAGGGTCGGTGTGGGGACAGAAATTGTGGGGGTGGGGGTCCTGAGAACGGAGGTCAAGAGGGTAGGGATGCCTGGGCCAAGTGAGGGGTCAGGGTCGGTGTGGGGTTAGGAATTGTCGGGTGGGGGTCCCAAGAACATGATCCAAAGAATGGGGTGTGCCGGGGCGACATGGTGGCCAGGTAGGGGGTCAGGGCCGGGTCGGTGTGGTAAGAACAGGATCCAGAGGGTAGGGTGTGCCAGGGCGAGATAGTGGCCAGGTAGGTAGTCAGGGTCGGTGTCGACCGTCCACAGGTGCACAGTTTCCTCACACGCCACAGAAGAGATGCGTGAACGGTGTGTGCACGAATGACGCCAAGCCAACGGCTACAGTCCTAGGACAGGGTCGGACGCGGGCAGGATAGGCGGCTCTAACACGCCCTTCTCCTCACACGCCTCTGGGTCGGCGGATTTGTGGGTCCCTGGGCCCCTTTTATCGGGGCCCACCCTGGTTGGTGCTCCCGTTGCCGCGCCCAGGCGCGGCGACGGGAGCCTCTAGCGAGGAGCCCGAGAGTGAGGAAGGACAGGTACGGCCGGCTCGGGGCTGCATCTCGGACGGGCGTTGGCGGATTTCTAAATTGGCCGTTTCGCTCGGGACATCCTCTAAACAATGGAGCTGGCGTTGGCTCCAGGCCGCCTTTGTGTTCAGATCGCTCTTGGAGCGGCCAAGAGGGTCCCTAGAAGGCCACAGGACGGCTCCAGAGGGCCCGCATGACGGCCCCAGAGGCCTCCAAGAGCACTCCCAAGAGGGCCCAAGACGCTAGAATCGTCCAATTCCAATGGGAAGCGTATTTACCTAACAGCTTTTGCTGACAGGTTTCTAGTGGTCTCAAAAGAGAGCAGCAGATGACTCCACAGGGGGGTCGGGGCGGGACCCGGGGCATGCCGCCGAAGCCCAAATCGCCTTGGACATCCTCGCAAAATCGCTCTTGGCGCTGCTAGAACTCCATCCCCGGCGTACATTTTGGATGCCCGGAGCCAACTGTAGGCCATTTCGTGGTCTTCGAGTTCCCAGAACTCCATTCCCGCCGTACATTTTGGATGCCCGGAGCAAACTGTAGGCCACTTCGTGGTCTTCGAGTTCCCAGAACTCCATTCCCGGGCCACATTTTGGATGCCCGGAGCCAACTGTAGGCCACTTCGTGGTCTTCGAGTTCCCAGAACTCCATTCCCGGGCCACATTTTGAGATGCCCGGAGCCAACTGTAGGCCACTTCGTGGTCTTCGAGTTCCCAGAACTCCATTCCGGGCCACATTTTGATGCCCGGAGCAAACTGTAGGCCACTTCGTGTTCTTCGAGTTCCCAGAATTCCATTCCCTGGCCACATTTTGAATGCTGAGGCAGGCTGATGCTGAGGCTGAGGCAGGCTGAGGCTGAGGCAGGCTGAGGCTGAGGCCGAGGCTGAAGGCAGACTGAGGCTGAGGCTGAAGCAGGCTGAGGCTGAGGCTGAGGCAGGCTGAGGCTGAGGCTGCAGGCTGGCTGAGGCAGGCTGAGGCTGAGGCTGAGGCTGATGCAGGCTGAGGCTGAGGCAGGCTGAGGCTGAGGCCGAGACTGAAGGCAGACTGAGGCTGAGGCTGAAGCAGGCTGAGGCTGAGGCTGAGGCTGAGGCAGGCTGATGCTGAGGCAGGCTGAGGCTGAGGCTGAGGCTGAGGCTGAGGCTGAGGCTGAGGCCGAGGCTGAAGGCAGCTGAGGCTGGCAGGCTGAGGCTGAGGCTGAGGCAGAGGCTGAGGCTGAGGCTGAGGCTGAGGCTGAGGCAGGCTGAGGCTGAGGCTGAGGCTGAGGCAGGCTGAGGCTGAGGCAGGCTGAGGCTGAGGCTGATGCAGGCTGAGGCAGAGGCAGGCTGAGACTGAAGCCGAGGCTGAAGGCAGATTGAGGCTGAGGCTGAAGCAGGCTGAGGCTGAGGCAGAGGCAGGCTGAGGCTGAGGCTGAGGCAGGCTGATGCTGCTGAGGCAGGCTGAGGCTGAGGCTGAGGCTGATGCAGGCCGAGGCTGAGGCAGCCTGAGGCTGAGGCCGAGGCCGAAGGCAGATTGAGGCTGAGGCTGATGCAGGCTGAGGCTGAGGCTGAGGCAGGCTGAGGCTGAGGCTGAGGCAGGCTGATGCTGAGCCAGGCTGAGGCTGAGGCTGAGGCTCATGCAGGCTGAGGCTGAGGCCGAGGCTGAGGCCGAGGCTGAAGGCAGACTGAGGCTGAGGCTGAAGCAGGCTGAGGCTGAGGCTGAGGCAGGCTGAGGCTGAGGCTGAGGCTGAGGCTGAGGCAGGCTGATGCAGGCTGAGGCTGAGGCCGAGGCTGAAGGGACTGAGGCTGA